ATTATTGTTGTCAAAGATTGTTGGAAAAATAATATTCCCTCGGGAAAAAAGTACCGGTTCCACCCGGTAGACTGCATGTATAAATGTTGTCAAAAATTTGTTGAAAATCTATTATTTTCAATGAAAAAAATTGTAGCGGTTCTCGCCCGATAAACTCTTGCTACTGTTGCAAAACATTTCTTTTTAATGAAAATTGTTCCGATAGCGTCCGATAGCCACGGAATATTATTGTTGTAATGAATTTGCTCTTTGATCAATATTTCCCGTGAAAAAAAAAATACCGGGCGCTCCCGGTAGCATTCTCATCGCGTCGTGATTTTCGAAGCCTTCAAAACGAAGAAAATCTTTGATTTCAACATTCTTTTAATATTGCATCCGCCATCTGCAGGAACAAGGCGATACTATATTTCACTCCGATCGTTAGATGGCACCTCTTCTTACTTCAGCATTCCCCCTCCCTCATTTCCGGTTTGGGATTTTTGTTATGTCCTACCCGTCCTACCGAAGTAACTAGGAGGACAGTAGCGCCAATGAAATTTAGAGCGCCAATTTTTGACTGTAGATTCGTTTGCCGCCAAAGCTCTGATGAGCACTCCATCGAAGTCCAATTGTTTAATCCCAGAATATTTGGTTGGAAGGGTTGAATTGTGAAATAAATTCAACACAAGTGCTTAAGAGAGCACACAAACACTTTTATTCAAAATACTTCAACTTCAGACTTTAAACTTTGCACTAAAAAAAAAATGAATTTAATAAACTCTAGAAAAACTCTACTGAAAAACTATTTGAAGAGAGAAGCTGGAAGCTGAAGGCTTCACCACCAATTTCCACGATGGAACTGACTTAAACTTAAATTTAACTCCAAGGGTTGGGTCCGCAACCCCACCGGACCAAAAGTTGCGCGCGCAATCCTGGCCCAGGGGAGAGGGAAAAGTGAAACTCAAGGAAAAGCGGGGAAATGAAAAAAAAGGGGAAGAAGGGGAGCGTGTGACGTCGTGAAACTTCGTCGCGAAGGGTCTCAGGCCCTCAGCCTAGCGAAACAATGAACAATGGAGAGCCCACACGTGTTAGTCACGTGAAACAGAGAACCTTTCGAAATAACCAGAACTGAGATTTTACGACATGGGACCGTAACCGTTAAATTTATTTTCTTCTCTAAATTTGGATTTTCGAGGAAAGTGTTTACTCAACGAGAATTTGGAGGGTTGTAAATTATAAGAGCAAAACTCAAGTATTTGACATTTACTATTTCCGTAACGGTTTTTCTCACGCTTGCGATGCTGTTTTTCGTTCTCTTTGTCCATTGTATTCCAGACTTTCTTTATTCTTCTATTTCTGGTATATTTTTAATTTCCTGAACTATTTAAATTATTTTCCAACAATAATTTGAATCTCGCGGACTATTATGGCCGATTAATAGCGCCATCTATAAATTTCAACGTCAAGACATCACATTTTGGTCCTTTGGGATTTTGTCACCCATCCAAAATCAGCGTCAAGACATCACATTTAGGCTACTTGGGTTGGTAACGACGGGCGGCGGTTTTAGGCTAGGTCTAGTGGGGAGAGAGAGGCTCTCTACCGTTCGCCGTATCTGGCAACTCTGGCTCACGCCAGCAGGTTGTACCAGCCCGTACGTCTGCAGTTTCACTGTGAAACTTTCATACTCTGAGATATATCCGTCAATTCTTTCTCGCTTTTTTTCATCAGCCCACGAAACCAATCAGAATCTCCATAAAAGTATCTCTCCATTCCTAAATCAATTAATAAAACCGTTAAAAGATGAGTGAGCCTCCTGCATTTACCGCAAGCAGTGATTCTAAATCCCGAAGATCATCGATTTTTCGAGAACAAAACTCGAATCGGCGTGGAGTTCCATTGAAGACCTGTAGAAACTGGAATGACGTGGAAGTGGGAACATTACTGTTCAGCAGAGGAAAACACGTGCAAATCATGTGGGAAAATAGGGCACGTAGAGAGAATGTGTCGTTCCCGCTGACAAAGAAATTATCAAACAAATACTCAAAATTCTACGAATTGGCGTTGTGATAACGGCAGAGATAATACCAATACTAACCACACATCAAAATCTTTATCTAAAAATAATGAGGAGAATAACGACGATTCCTATTGTCACACCAAGCCCAATTATAATAATCGAGACAGAAATCGTTTTGAACAGTTTGAAACTCCTCGTAACGATGAAAATAGTAACCATCAGACTGAGACGACGAGAGACTCAAGAGATTCTCCTCATGAACACAAGAAAGAAAAGTCTATTCGAAACAATGAGAATGATGATAAAAATTCCGAAAGGGTGAATAAAAACGATTTTCAAGGGAAGTCTGAAAATTTACCGAAATTCAGATGGTGGCATGACCATAAAACTAACAGAAATGATGTTTATGAGAACTGGAGAGCTTCAAAGACGAACAATGAGACTGATGATGATAAAAAGAATAGTTTTCATTCAGGAACATCTGAGAATTGGAGACGAGAATCGATACATGCTCACAATAATGCGGGACGATCTCAGGGCAATTGCAAGAGAAATGATACTGTCAAGGATGATTATACTGAGTCAGCGAATATTTCGAGTAATCGTCATCAACCGAAATCCAAGTTTGATGGGGGAGACAAGTCGAACCCCGGGTATTTTCATCCAGAGCATAAGAAATACGAGTAAGCCTTATTTCATGTTTAGTTTTGGATGATTTTTTAATTTTCCAGAGTTGTAAATTGTTGAGTCTTGGCATGGTTCTCTTCATGATTTCAGTGCACTTGGATTGAAAAAAAACTTGGCGAAATCGCTGTATGATCGAGGAAATTATGGGGCCGCTTTATCACATTATTCTAGGCTCATCGGTAGTCTATTCAATACAGTTATCAATATAATTTTGTTTTTAGTGGTGAAGTGGTACGAACAGAGGAGCGGGCAAAGTCAGAATGAAAGATGATGCAAAAATATTGATAATTCAGAAATCTATTAGGGAGAATGCATCTTATGTAGAGTGTTCTCCCGAACTAGAGCTGCGGGACACCCTCGATTTTCAGACATCTACCGTCCACTCGCGTCTGATGTGGAATTCTTGTTTTAAACAATAAAATATGATCACTGAACGTCAAGTAAACAATTTTCAATTAATTTTAGGCATTGGAATTGTTAATTATTAACAATTGAATCAAATCGCGCGAGCACCTAAACTATGAAGACTAGACAAAGATTTTCAAATCATGAATGATCTAGAATTTAATAAGGAATAATTTTTGTCTGTTTTCAATTTTACGTATCTCTCGTAGATTCCGAGATGTGAGCAATTAACTAGTTACGAGATCCGACATAATGCTCTCTACTTGTGTTGGGTCACGCAACTCTTTCCTTGCTCATATCTCAAAATCTAACAATTACACATCAAATTGACAAAAAACGAAAATTATTCCTTATTAAATTCTGAATGATTCGTGATTCGAAAACTTTCGTATATCTTATAAGATTCTATAGTTTAGGCGCTAGGGCAATTTGAACAATTAAATTGTTACAAATAGATAGTTGCGATGCCCAAAATTGATTGGAAATTGTTTACTTGACGTTCCGTGATCATATTTCACTGTTAGAAAAAAAAAAAGCATTACACATTAGAACGTGAGTGGTCGGTCGGCCTATGTAGAAGCGCTTTTTTGGGGGTGTCCTGTAGCTCTAAACGATTCACTGTTTCAGTCAGGTGTTGTCACCTGATAAAATTCTCTTGGAAACTTAGTTTTTCACTGATTTTGTTGGAAAATTCCGCAGGTCTTTCACGCGGAATTTGCGCGGATTTTGTTCGATGGAAAATATTTTACTGCACAAATCAATAGAATTTGATGTTTCTGTACAATTAATTCTATTACTATTGGACTGAAAAGTATAGGCCTCTGGCTCTAAACTTTGGACCTTGTTCTTGTGTCGGATAATAACGCAACGCGTTCATTTTATCATTCATGCGATTATTTAATGGACCTAGAATATATTTCTGACATCCATATTGAAAAAAAATGCAGAAAAAATTAATGCCGATATTCAGAAATGTTGCAGAACCGAAAAACCCCACACCACCAGTCAATACTTTTTAATCCGACGGTAGGATATTTTCTACAGAAATAGTTTGGTTTAAATTCTCTGGATTCTTTCGTTTGATTTTGTAATAAAGGAAGAGAAAAATTAGAAAATTTATGTCGAGGCAGTTCTATAGAAAAGAGTTTAATGGAAAAAGTTTGTATAGTAAGATCAAGTTCTATTGATTATTTTTATAAAAGAATTTCTATTGAATAATTTGTAGTAAAAAAGATGCACGAGAAAAACTGTGAAGTTCATCAATAGAATCGGCGAGAAACAAATAGAATTTCCAATAAATTTTTCTAGAAAATGCGCTAGGTTTTTATGAATTCTTTTCGTACGTGCTAGCGGCTTTCTGCAGGAAAATTCTTATGGGATGATTATTATTAGAAAAATTCGGGAGTTTCTCAATGGAATTCTGTCACCAAGTCTTTGTGACCAGGGATGGCTAATAATACTAGAGATAAGATAAGAAGATAAGAAGGATTATCTCCTTATATTGTTTAAAGTTTAACTATATTTAACAAATTTAAAATATTATAAAATTTAATAACTAAATTTTCTGATTGATGGTGAGTTAAACATTTGATAATATTGAAATGTAATTTTTTAGTTAACAAGCTAATTCTAGATTTAGGTACTTGATTTTCGATTATCCAAATAATCGTCAATCTTCCTACCTAAATTATTGGTTAATAGCATATTTCAAAATTTGAATGTACAAATTGATGGTTAATTTAATATTTACAATTTTTTAGAATTAGTGTTGAAAATTAACAACTCCACAATTTTACAGTAATTATGATTAATGAATATGCCTATCACTGTTTGTGAAGTGTAGATTATCAGTAGAAAAATTCCTTTGAAAAAACTGACTTGAATTCTTATGCAGGACAATGCCTTTCTGGTCAAAAATATTCAGTAGAACGTTTTTTGTGAGAAATTTATAGGAATTATACTGGAAGTCTCGTGAGAAATCATTCAAGATAATTTCATATAAATTTTTGATATGTGTGTTCTTTGATTTCGTTTGCTCGACAACTATTATACCCAAAAAAACAAATTTCAATTTGAGAATTACGATCTCAATTGAGATTTTCGAAAATCCTAAATTGAATCCTGAAACTCTCAACTTGAGATTGTCGCAAATCTCAATTTAAGACTATTGAAAATCTCTATTTCAGACTTGACAATCTCAAGTTGAGATTTGAAGGTCTCATGTTAAGACTTTCAGAAAGCTAAAATTGAGATGTTTCAAGTCTCAAATTGGGACTTTCGAAAGTCTCAACTTAAGAATTTCAGAAGGATCAAATGGAGATTTTCAAGCCTCAAATTGAAACTTAAAATTTTCTATTTGATCCTTTCGAAAGTCTCAATTTAAGATCTTTGAAAATTCCAAGTGAGGATTTTTTTCTGGATTTACTTTACTACGGCCTTCAGAGACATCAAGAATAATTTGGGCTGAAGACCCTAGGCGATGGCCAGAGTTGGAAGTGCTCGAACTTGTAACGAATTTCGTTAAAAATAGAAAAATATATAACCTGTGAGGACGTTAGAATATGATACGACTGCTTTGAAAATTCTAATTACATCAATTAATTTCAGAATTGTCTCCCAAGGATGCTACAAACTTCAACAATCGCTGTGCATTGCTACATGATGATAGCACAGTACGATAAGGCTATTCTTGATGCAAACACAGTTATCGAGTTGGATCCTTCATGTGTCAAGGTACATTACTTATAATCATGAATGTTCCCAACTTCTCAATCTTTTTAAAAAATGGTCCCTGGCGTACTTCTCAAAACCGCTCATTTCCTAAATAATCCTCTAACTAACAAGCTTTGTAGATTTATAGGTGGTTTCAGCGGCATGAAAAAATTCATTAGAAAGTTCTTCTTTTTCTCTATAAAAATGATTTCGATGATTTTTTTAGGACAAAAATGAAAATTAGTTTTCTGGACCAAAAGAAGCGCAAGGAAAAAATCCCTAGAAGCATTATTCTGAGAAATTTCTATAAAAAAAAATTAATAGAATAAGTTTCATTGAGAAACTAGTGATTTTTTCTGTGGAGAAATAATGCACGGCAGAATTCTCAATAGAAATCGGGAATAAAGTACTAAGTTTTTCTATACACTATTAGAAAAATAGGGAAATTTCATGGACAGTTGAAATTTAAAATTTCATTGAAAATTCGATCGAATTTCAAATTTTTGAAAGACAAGAAGACGAGTATTTTAGAACTCACATAGGGGAGTGAGGCAAAATGAAACAGTCATGAAACGACTGTTTGACGTAACTCAAGCAAAGAAAATTTATTATTAAATATTTTTTTTAATAACTTTTTTTTATTCTTGGGAGTCGCGATGAGAATAATTATTTTCCATTCAATAGAATGGAAAATTGTTGAGAAGCTTCGACGAGATTTTGTCAACAGATTAATTGAAAAGAAGATGAAACAGGAAACTGTGATGCTGAATTTCAATATAAAAAGAAAAGTATAATCGGCTTAATCTAATCAATTAAATTACAATCAATTGAATGATAAGACGAATAGTAAATTATTATTTTCATCAGTACTCCCACTAATAAAAAAAATTTTCGGTTTTCGGCTGTTTCATTTTGTCCCACCCCGTAGAATTTTCAATCAATTAAAATTTAATAACAGTTACTTCAATGCTCCTGATTTCTAAAAATTTTCATGACAAATGGTTTACTATTACGTTTGGTTTTTCAATTAAAGTGAGATTCCGGTGGAACTGTCACCTGACGAAAATTTTCAGAAAGTGTTTGATTCCCCAGCGAATGCCTTGAGATTTTCTGTTGATTTTTTAATGAGTGAAGTGCATTAAAAACAATCAATTCTTCCAGGCCTATGTACGTCTCATCAAATGTGCCATTCTCCTCGGGGATATAAATTCCGCAGAATCTCACCTCACGAAATTTTCGCAAATCGATTCAAAGCACAAGATAATTTCTTCTGAACGTGATAGGATCAGGGAATTCCAGGAGCATTCACAGAGAGAGATGATCGCAGCGAGGAACAACAATTACGAAAATGCATTAGAGTGCGTTAACAAGTGTTTGCTCATCAGCCCATATAACCGAGCATATAAAATCAAGAATGCAGAGTATTTGGCATTGCTTGGTCGCCATAATCAAGCCCAAGAGGTCGTCAATGAGATACTGAAGAAGGATGCAATCAACGTAGATGCTAAATACATTCTAGGACTCTGTGTTTATTATTCTGATACTGATGAGGCTGTGCACCATTTTGAGGACGTTCTTCAACTGGATCCCGATCACATGAAGTGTCTTCAAGTTTATAAGGTAATTTTTGTTTAACTTACTACTGAAAAAGTAATCATTAGTTTCAAGGGGAATCCCCTTCTGTATTGATCGATCATTGATTTGACTATATCATCAACTCATGAGACTATCAGAAATATTTATCCAGAATCACCTTTTTTGAACTGATAGACAGAGTTAGCCTTCATGTTATATGGGGTTTGATGTTTCAAATATCCTGTGGGCCATGGAATTTAATTTTTGTCACGATGCCCTCGATTCTTATTCTTGTTTTTGGAGTCTTCTAACAGATAAATTATAATTTAAAGAAAGAATCTCATAAAGCCCGTGTATAATAAAAAATAGTTTACTTCATTTCAATTATAGAGTTTTTCTTAAACATGGAAAAATTCTGTCCATAAATCTACTATTTCCGGCCATTATTATCGATCATATGTCCAAATTCATCGAAATGAAAGGAAGAGTTACAAAATAGCCAGGCGACGGCGAACATTAATTTTTTTCGCCATCAATACGTTGATGGCGGGCTTCCGAATGGTCTGAAATATTCCAAAAGTTTATAGGTTCACAACACTAACTAGCAACAAAAATTTCAGTTGGTTACTGCCACCTGCATGGGTGCTATCAAGATTTCAATGTTTCGAATACTGCGTATGAGCGGATATACATAGTTTCTGTACAAATTTCAAGTTGATATCTCGATTTTTACACAAGCTGCATCGAGAGAAAAACAAACTTGTTGTTAAACAAATCTTGTGTGGGCCAACAAAATCGCTAGTTGAAAATTGCCAAATAAGAATTTCTGTGGTTCGAATTTGAAAGTCTCAAACATGAATAATTGTTCTGCTTTCAACAGCAACGAAATATGTGGCTCAAGAGGTGCATCGAGGGGCTGGTCACTCCTCACTCGAGTGACTCAGTGATTTCCAGAATCAGATGAATTCCTTTGATTTCCTATTGATTTCTGTGATTTCTCAATCAGCATTATAAATCCTGATTTCTTTTGATTTCTTATGATTTCTAGTAGATTCCAATGATTTCTTGATTTCAAAAAATCACTGAAGAAATCATGATTTCGGGACGAGAGTGGGGCATCTGTCGATAATGGCAGTTTTCTACATGACATTCCAATACGTAAGGATGTTAAAAACTTCATCTGTCACATTTCGGGGTTGGTTGATTTCGAACACACCGATACCTTGACAAAAATTGTAGAGTTGAAACTGCAAAATCAATTTCGATTTTACACATATCGATGATTTCTAATGATTTCGGAAATCACCTGATTTCTTTATGATTTCTATTCATTTCCGATGATTTCTAGAAATCTTTAAAAATCACTACCGAAAATGGAAATCACTTGATTTCCAGTGATTTCCATTGATTTCTGGTGATTTATTCCTTGATTTCCAGTCGAGTCGTCCAGTGATTTCCTAAGTGACTAGCCCCTCAAGGCGCATAATTCACATCAGACGGTGCCTTTTCAGGATGAAAATATCTCATATAGAGGAAAATTTATCAACAAATATTTTATCCCTAAGTTACAAGATTGCTATCATATCATTATTATTGTTTCATTTAACGGTTCATTTGTTGTCTGTGTTTATTAGACAGCCGAAACGAAAAACTACTATCCCTTGTTTCGCATAAAACAAAGATTTTTCGGGAGCAAAATACGTATGGGAGTATCGAATAACGAAGGAGTAGTGCTAGAAATGACATTTCTTGCGTCTACAGAGAATGTAATTTTTTTTGAACTACTAAATCCATTTTTGCGACAAAATTTTTTCTTGGCACAAATAAGACTTGTTTGAGAACTTTGTCGTTTTTCTTTCAGTGTAGAGTGTTTACAATGTTTTTTACGAAAAAACGGAAAAACCGGAATATCTCGAAAACTTTGTATTAACGGGTATATATGTTTTCATTGATTTAGATAGAAGTCATCGGAACGAATATTGTGAGAACAAAAAAATCGATATCAGTCCACTAGTTTTGAAGATATTTGCGAAAAACGATTTAAAAACGAATCGCTTTTTCTTCAAAACTGTTTGATCGATCGGGCTGAAATTTTGCACAGAGTTAGTCTTCATTAAGACCTATAATCTGACAAAATTTCCGATTTTTTGGAATTACTTCAGCAATTTAATTACGCAATTTTATAAAAATTGAGCACCCAGAAGGTGATGGTGGACGTGGCCATATACAGACATGGTCACCAAACTTCGTATTTTTATGTTTCAGACCATTCTACATCATTTCCAATTAAAATTAGAGAATGTGAAAATCCAAGGATTGCAATGCGTCCATTCGGTACTAAAAATCGCCGAAATATGAAGATATTGTACAGCGTTTTGAATGCATAAGGCACGAAGGTCTCCACGTGCGTTTATTAATGATCTAAGAAAAATTATGAAAAAACTCATCAAATACCTATTGCTTCATCAGCTGCAAGATAAAAAAGAAAAATGTTTGACAATAAAAACTTGAACTTGTTGTAGTCCTTTGGTAAAATATTTTGAATAAAATTTCCTGAACGAGGCGATATAAATGTCCCTGAAGAGGAACGCCTTGCACATTGGAAACGCTGGAATACATACATAGGAATATTTTCCTATTGTATGGTTTTTTTTTTGTTTTTCTTCCTTTTGTTCTTGTGAGTCCAAAGATGATCGCCAATAATAGCTGGAAATTGTCGATTTAGGAAGAGAAGAAACGGTCGAATCAATTATTTGACGGAAAGAATTCAGTGGTTGTAAAATGGGTAAGCATTCTTCATGTTGAAACACGGGAAATCATATGGAAAAACTCATAACACTCGTAAGTAACTCTGAATTTGTTGAGGGAAAGTGATTCAATAAATCTTTTTTTTTGGGCTTCACGATATGATGAAAGTGTGGATTCCCTACGTTCATTCCCTGGCGATTGAGGTTCCATGGTACATCCATGTTGTAGCATGGATGTAGCATGGATGTGCATGGATGTCATTTTAAGGCGAAAAATGGGCCAAAAATGATTGGAATATAATCAAAAAATTATTTAAATGCTGATAGACAAACAATTGGTCCCAATTAATACCCATTAATAGGTTATTTTGTATAATTAGGAGAAATTATTGATGGTGTGCTGTGTGGTAAAGAAGTTCAGATGGGAGAATGCCGCGAGATGGCGCCAGTGTTAAATTATCGAGTCGGCGGTAAACTGTCAGCAGTCGCAGGCATATTTTT